CTTATGAGTTTAAAGCTACTTAGGATAAACAAATGTAGTTTCATGTTACAATTTGAAGCCATTCCAGAAAGAAAAAAAGGGTAATTTAGATTTATTTTGATTTTTTTTTGTGGTTTTAAGGTCAGTCAAATTGACCAACCTTGTATAGAATTAGTGTGGAGAAAATTGATAAAATATTTAAGAGGTTTTAAAGATTGTGCAACTGACATTTGAGATTTTTTAGATGAAGAAAAGCATTTTTAATATTAACATGAAAATCATGGTAAAAAAACTCAACAAATTGAAAAATTATTAAAATACCTCACTAAAAAATCAGATTATTTTATGTAAAAGACTTGTAATGTTTACTGAAAGTCTGCCAGATTTTGTAAAATTACACATACTATATCAAAAGCTGGTAGTGTCAAAGCTATAACAAGTACAAGGTGGTCAGGTGACTGGTCAATTTGACCGAACCCATGTTGAGAGGGATAATTGGCTGAGAGCATTGACCAACCATACCAATTAACAAATCAAGAAACTTAGTTTCTTATGACCTTCACCTTGCACAATATGGTAGCAGATTGGTGCAATAATTTAATTAAAAAAAAAAATGAAAGAGCAGTTTTCATGAGGGTCTGTCGGGAGATGAATTTTTTTTTGGAAGCGTTCGGAGGACTTTAGGGTCAGGAATTGTTACATAAGTGTTGGTCAGGCAATGGGAAACAAAGCATTTTTCTTTCTAGGCCTAATTAAAATTTCATGACTATATTTATTTATAATCAGATTGAGGAAGAACATTTAGCATTGGTAAACAAGATTCTTGTTTTCGGAAGTTTTTAAAAAGTGTTACTCATACAGTTATACAACTTGCATATTCCTTTATTTTAGACATCGACAATATTAAAAGCAATTTCCTTAAGGAAATTCTAGCTTCTAAATAGTGAAAAGTTGATTGTGTAACAAGTCTGTGTTACAAGAGCTGCAGGATTAATAAACAGTACTAATTTTATTTATCAACAAATTGAGCATGAATTAAAAAGATCAATAAATTAATTATTGAGTTTCATGTAGAAAAAGTGTTAAACAAAATAACATTAGCAGGAAGTGGGAAAATTTTTATGTGATACTCAACTTTTTCCTTTATGAGGGACATTTTATTAAGAAGTTAATAAGCACTTATTTGCTAGGTTGGGTGAATAATGATTATTAGTTATTCACATGTTGCTGTATCATTGATTGAACCTGTGATGTAGTTTCCAGAGAGCGCAGCTGTCGCAAGATATGCGATTTGACCAGCACAAAGATGTGATTGTCTGTCTCTGTAAAGTGCAGCCACATGTTTGATCGGCCGGGGTTTGGGGTATGGAAGGGGAGCCATGGAAGCAGAAAACGTTGGTGACAGGTTGTCTTTGCATGTGTGGATGTCTGTTGAGATAGGCATTTGGCACTATGGAGGGCTGAATGCTAGTGTTTGTATGTTCCGTAGGTAAGGTGTACTATATTCTTTCTTTATAGTTACTTTCATTAATAGCTTTGGTTGGAATGTGTGATATATATTTAGTTTTATTAGATATATATAAAATATTCCAATACACTTAAATTTTTTTTTAGAATTATAATTTCATTATAAAGGTTGTTTTGCATTGTTGGTTAGTATATGTATTTAGGACTAACTTAAATCTTGCTGGCTAAATCTCTGACATATTATTAGGTTTATAGTCAGATATATTGTACCCAACTGATGAAACAATGAATTCTAATCTCTTTAAATATAGTAAATATTAAGTTTACTTAATTAGAAATATTCATGACTAGGTTGATTTTAAGTGTAGCTATAAGTATGTGGCTTACTCTCATTTGAAGTTATTATTATTTGATGAAAACATATCTAAAGTCTAAACACACAGTGTTTCTGGAAAAAGTCAATACATGAAAATTTACCATGGTAGTGTTTAATTGGCATTCATATTGTTGTGTTGGCTTAGAAATTACCATTTATTGGTTGAGGCCACAACTGGATTATGTAGATTCCAGCTATGTTGATTTAAGAAAAAACCTTAAAAAACTTTTGCAGTAAATAATTGTTCATTCAAATAAAATTACTGACATCTAATGTTTTGTTTTGTTACTATATGTTAGTATAAGGAAGTCTGTCTGTTTTCTTCATTAATTCTTCAGAATAAAATGGAGGAGGGGAGTTTAAGACCCCTGTATCATTGTCTATTTATGCAACATTAAAGAATACAGTTATTAACTCGTGGAAAAAATAGAGGGGGATGGGTTAGGACCCTTCTTCCCTAGCTCTGCTCCTGCTTATTCAACAGTAAATAATGCAGATATTAATTCTTGAGTTGGGGTTGGAAGTTTTCCACTAGATCTAGACCTGCTTATACAACATTAAAGAATACAATTTCACAGTTTTAAGTTAGAAACCAGTAAATTTACACTTTATTTAACACTTGAGTTGTCAGAGAGCTGGTGGTGAGTTCTGCTAGCCAGTTGCCTTCCCTCTTTCAACAGTTCAAATTTAGTGACAGTTGCAGGCTGTGTTAGTAGTTTTGCAATTAAAAAGTCTGGGTGACCAAGTTTAGTGGCAATGGGAATTGAACCCTATAACCCCCAAATCATTAGGTGCCCTTCCATTATGTAGGTTTCTGCTTAACAGCAAACAAACATAATGCAATATTTTGATACAATTACCTACCACCTCTCACAGTTACAGCTATTCTTGGTTTGACTGCCTTCTAGTGCACAAATTTTTTATTGTACTCCCACTTAATACCACGTGGTTCAGCTGCAAATAAGCATGCAACAACCCTCCACCAATATGAGTACAACTTATACTACTATTGCAGCTGACTCCCTCTATACAGTTAAACCCAGTTTTCACTTCTTGATTTGGTATGATTGTGTTTACACTTAGTGCTAGAGTTTAAACAATTTTTCTCTGTTTGCAGTTACTTTGAATTTTACTTTTCAAAGTATTGTTTTTGAATCCATGTCTGAGTTGGATTTCATTTTCATTGTGAATTCTCTTGCTCAATCAATTTCGGTAGTCTTTCGATATTTTATGAATTTATAATTTACTATCACCATGACAATGGTATCAATAAGTTACCAACTTGTGAAGATGGCTGGAGGGGCGGTATTATTGGAGGAGGAGATATTGGCAATAATTCGATGGGAGATGGCTTCCTTCATGTGGGCCGAGAGGTCTCTCGATTGACAGGTGATTATGCCCTTGCCTGAAGATTTAGATCAGGATGCCAGTGTTTTGGACAGCCTTTTCCCTCCTCCTTCCTTTGCTGTGCTGGCACATTCTCAGCCTGTGGAAGCACCTATGTCTCTGTGACTCTTTTTGGACTTTATTTTGCAGGCATCTTCTGTTTTGTCTTTGTCATATGACCCCTCACCTTTTCATATTTGCCAAAACACCTAGCTCTGAGTTTTTATCTTCCTCTCCTTCATCTGATAATGGATTCCATTCAGTCAGGTTTGCATAGCAATTTCATGTGGAGGTTAACATGCCTTTCTTCCACAAGGATCTTGTGTCTCAATTCTGAGCTCTTCCTTTCTGGCTGGCATTGGTACCCTATGTTTTGTGTTTGGTGGTCCAGTCGTTTGCCCATTTCCTACATTCTTGTGTGTTCAATTTCCATCATTATATGGATGACTGTTTTTTCTGGCTCCATCCTCTGCAGAGTCTTCCTTACACACCCAACATCTGCTCGGATGAGTTGGTTTATGAAGATGGAGAAGTCCATTATTCCCCCACACTCAATATATTGTTCATCTGAGGGTGTTTTTGAACTCACATCTCATTCGAGCCCAGCCTTCTCCTTTTTCTTTAGGAGCCATGGAGTTTTAGTTCAAAAGGTATTATCAACACTCTTTCCCTGCACAAGAGTTTCTGTCTCCTTTGAGGACTTCAAAATCACTGGAGGCTCTTATACCTCTGGGCCATGCCCGCATGCATTCCTTGCAGTGGGTAGTACAAGATCAGGGACACCTCATTAGGGACTCTCTGAATTTACAGATATCCCTTCCTGCTTCCCTTCAGTCTGCCTTCCTCTGGTGGTTAGACGAGGACAACATGGCAGTGGGGTTCCTATTCCTCTTCCCCATCTAGATATCCATGTCTTCACAGATGCCTCATTGTCTGGATGGGGTGCATGCTGCAATACACAGGAGATCCCAGGCTGTTGGTCTCAGGAGGAGTTAGATCTTCACATTACCCTTTTGTAACTCCTTGCTTTTTGTTAGGTGATAGCTCATTTTTTGTCATCTCTGTAGAGCATGACAGTTGTGATTCATTTCTCTTCCATCACACCAGACAATGGGGAACTCAGTCTCGGCCCTTATGCTCCTGCACTCTATATCTTCTTTTCTGGGCTCACTGCCACCAAATTCATTTGCTAGCTTGTCACATACTGGGTGCTCTCAATCTTGTCACAGATCCTCTGTCCAATCTTGACAAGATTCAATCCATAGATTGGTCTCCTGACCCCCAGGTATTCCAATAGCTATGTTATCAGTTGGATACTACTCTATTAGATGCAGTTGCCACTCATTTGAATACTAAGCTTCATCTGTTTTGCTCCCCAGTTCCACATCATTTGACTTTGGCTATGAATGTATTCAACCAGGATTGGAAAAATCTTTCTTTTATGCATACGTTTCCATCCCTCTTCTACTCAAATAATTTCTTTCATCCCTCCACTCCATGTTGAATTCTTCTTGTGGCCTCTTTCTATCCCTTCTTCAGGAACTACCTCCAAATATATCATCCTCGATCCTGGTTCCTCATGTGGCAACCTCACGTAAGGGTGATTCATCCCTCTGTTCCCACACTCCGGTTTCACGAGTTGCTTATGTCTGGTCCATTGTGAGGGGTTTGGGACTATCCATACGTGTAGTGTCCCTGTTGTTTCACTTTCCATTCCTTATCCACAACTGTGTGTTAACATAAGTGAATAACATTCCGTGTTTGGTCCATTCAGCATAGATTCTCCCTTTCCTCACCTTCCCTTCCTCAGATATCTGAATCTTTTTACATGGTTGTTTGACAACCTACTGTCTGTTTCAACCATTGCAGACTCTTGGGCATTCCAGTCACCTCCTTTTTGTTTTTGGTTTTTTTCCTCTCCAGTAATTTCCCTTTTGTTTTAGTCTCCTTTATCCTCTTCATACCACTCAATTTTTGGTTTGTTATCTTGATGTTGTTCTGCACGACTTTTCCCTTCCTTCTTTCGAACTTGGAGGTTCTAACTATATATTCTGGCTTATCAATATCTGTAATATGAGTTTGTAATTAGTAGGAGACTGAACTCTTGAAAGGGTGTAAAAAAAAATTTTAAATGAAAAATTTCAAGTGCAAGAGTGTCACATGACAGAGACAAGTGATGAAGATTGAGAATTTATTTGTATATTTCCTTTTGAATTTAAGAAATTGAAACTTAGACAATATAAACATTTTTATTATAAATTATCTTTTGTTGTTGAGCTTATTGAAATTCATAAAGAAGTTTTTAATTTTGAATGTAACAGTGTAAAAGGTCGTAATATGTGCACTTTGACCCTGCAGTGTACATAAAGTTAATTGATTTTTTTACGTGATATTAATTGCTGTAATTGCTGCTCATAGTTAAACAGTTTTACCATTTAATCAATTCAATCACCCAACTATAATTGTGATGCATACCATATGGAAAATGGATCACTGATACAACTCAATTATAACAATTGCCAATTAAAAACTTTCTACCCTTAAAACCTCCGGTTGTAATACATATAAATTAAGCCTTTTGACTGCCATTTTTTTATGTCTTTAATCCATGCAGGCTATAGTTCATCCCTTACATAAAGAGCCATTCCACCTGTTTTTTAAAATATTAAACAATTTATAACTTGGAATTTCAGAATAACTCTTCTTATCAATATTTTCCAAATATATCCAGCTTTCATTAAGTATCTTTATATCATAACTTCGATTTCAACTAGAACTCTGAACTCATACATTTTATTTTGAATACTCTTCATATTAGAATAAAAGCAAATAGGTTTATTCTTAAATCTTCTGTGTTTAGCTTTAAATTTAACAGACTTATTTTTAAAACTATTTTAATTCACTCACTACAAGCTTGGTTCCAGGCATCAACCTTATACCCTTTTTATGCTTATTATAATTTTCAGGCTAGAACTTTTAATACAGTATCCCTATCTTCACGTAACTTTGCAGATTATCAGTAAACATTACAAGGGTTTATTACACAAAATATCAGATTTTTTTATTAAGTTTAAGATTTTTTAAGTAATGATTTGCTCCTGCATTTTTTATCATTTTTGAATTTTGGATAGCCAAAATTCAAAGTAATTATGATTTTAAGATTAAAAATGCTTTTATGCATCAGAAAATTGTGGTATTTCACATGCAAAATCTTTATAACCTCCAGATATTTATCTGATGTTTTTTAAAAAAAAACTGTCTTTTATCTGTTACTTTCACTATTGTATCTCTGTATGGGTTTGGTCGATTTGGCCGACCTCGTAACTAACGTAAAAAATTAGGAAAAGATATATATATATATTATGCTTTTTTGTTCTGAAATGACTACAAATTATAACAAGTAACCACAAATATTTAGCATAAATAGCTTAAATCTCATAACATTATACATCTATTTATCAATATATATATATATATTTATTTATTGATCTTTCAGCTGTATCTCATTAACATTACATAAGTTGCAATGACACAGCACATGTGCACTCATGTTACCATATCCAATAGTATAAAAGTGGCCTGTCTTTGGTTTGTTGTAGTGGACCAGTATCTTGTATAACAGTCACATTTTGGTTATGTATATATATATTTATTACTGTTTACAAATAAGTTCTTAAGTTTCAGTTATTTTTCTTAAAACATAGAACAGTAAATAAGAAAATGTAGAAAGCAATGATATTTTTCTACTTAAAACTTTGTACTCATTTACCCATTTGCCATAATTTGCTAAGCCTTGTGAAATTTTGCATGTGGAGGATGTAAAACTATATTTTTCTTAGGTTTTATGTTTGCATTTTTAAATAACCAAATTTTATAAATTACTCTATCAATATTGTAGAAATCCACTGTAATTTATCAGGCTTACTGACTAAACTGTATTTGGGTAAAAAAAAAATTTTTTTAAACAACATTTTCACTTAACCCTTCCTTCTGAGATTTGAGACAAATAAATAAGCTTGGGGACATTCTGAGCTTTTGAGTGGTAGGTCACACATCGTAGATAGAAGTAAGTGTATGTAAGCATTTCCAAAAATGAAAAAGGTGGGTGGGGCCCACTGTGTTTGATTTGCTGAATGTAGTGATAACTCAGCAAATAAAAAAGATAGGAGGTTCTTATTTTATATTCTAGTTTGTCAGTATCAGTAATTTAAGTTTCTAATTCATATGAAACTATAGACTTTGTATTTGGGCATCAAAAACATCTAATTTGTACCAAAGCTGTATTCAATACCACGTGACACACATAAAATTGATGGTTAGGAATTTTGTTTTAATATTTACTTTTAAATTAACTAATGTATATTCGATGACGAGGAACCCACTTTGAGACTAATAATTGCTGGAGACGGCTTAAATGGGTAATGAAGAAAAACTTTAAT